AAACAAATTAACACATGAATTGGTATAAAACATTTTACATTTTTGCTCCATGGTCTGATAGATTAAATATTGAAGAGTATAGTTACATTATAAAATGCAATACAATATTTTAAATTCTTAGTTAGTGAAACTATGAGAAATAATAATAAACAATATATTATTACAAAGTAAAAAGTATAGTTTAAAATATTTTTTATTATTYGCAATAAAAATTTTTAAACACAAATAAAACATTTTTACAACTCAAATTGTATTTAACAGCTATACAATTACATATATTAATATATTATTACAAGTACAATAGATCGTAAATATAATAAACATTATATATAACATGGTTTTCATAGAACACAGCCAAYATTTACTTTAAAAATTCGTCACAATTTTCATTAAACATGTGGTAAAATTATAATAGGACTTAAATATAATAAGGTATAACAAAAACCTTAACTAAAAATAATCAAACTCAACTTAAATCACTTGGTTGCCTGACATAATTTTTTCAATATCTACTATTTCTTTAGGACAATCTTCACTTAATACTTCAATACTGTTCTCAGTGACCAACACATCATCTTCTATTCGTATACCCAATCCAAGGAATTCTTCATGAACTCTTACATTATTTTTACTTATATAAACACCTAAAATTAAATAATTTTAAAATATGTTATACAATTTWTGGGACTTTTAAGAACATTTAACAACATAATAACTAACCAGGTTCCACTGTTAAGATAAAACCAGGTTCAGTTTTGATACTTTTTTTGATTGTACCAACATCATGTACGTCCATACCCAAATAATGACTAACATGATGAGGACACAATGCACGGGCAAGCTAAAAATGTAAATAATCTATTTTACAGTTTCATTCTAAAAAAATAAAATCATCTACATAACATTATAATACTTACCATATTTAACTCTGAAGGATCAACATTTTTTTTAAATACATGGGCTGCTGCCAAAGTTTTTCCTAACTTAAAACACATGGCTTCATACAATGTGTCTAATGATGGACGGGCTTGACACATGTCAATCAATTCTTTTTGAACACAGAGAGTAGCTTCATATAATGTCTTTTGAGCGTCAGAAAACCATCCATTTGCTGGCCATGTCCGGGATATATCACTTGAGTATCCATGATATTCACAGCCTAGTTAATAATAATAAGTGTTATTAATTGCTAATACTTTATACAGTTAAAAYTCTAAGGGGATAACTTTGAATATGCAAATTATAACTTCATCAAAGTATTACCTATAACATACACAAATTATTATACATGAATATTCATTTTATCTTACCAGCATCTACAAGAATTAAATCCCCATCCTTGATTTGTTGTTTGTTGTCAATGTAATGCAAGGTATTAGCATTATTTCCAGCAGCAACCACTGGAGGATATGCAAGATATTCAGCTCCACCCATTCGACATTCATAGTCCAACCTAGCATACAGTTGATGTTCGGTTGACCTTGGTTTTGTTGACATCATTGCTTCAATAAACGCTTTAGAAGCTATTTGACAACTTTGTCGCATTAATCTTTGTTCAGCTAATGACTTATATAACCGTAATCTGTGACAGTGCTCTACCAAACTATCATCTAGCTACAAATATATTATTATGAACTATAAATTCAGAATCATAGTTTGRACAAACAAACAACAGGTAATAATTAAATATTAAATTATTATTTGCAAAATAAAGTATTATTATTATTATTATTATAATAAAATAACAATAAAAGATAATGATCAGTTGTCAATTACCTAAAATGAACTCACATAAATTGAATTTTCAGCAGCAGCATTATTGACAGTCTTATCAACAGCACTTTGGACTTTTTGCTTTTGATTATACCATAGAACACAATTATTATGCCCTTTCAGTTCAAACATTATAAATTCTGAAAGCTGGGGTAATRTTTTGCCATCATCGACACCAAAAATTAATGGCGCACTTTCAGCTCCTGCAGACAAATTATTCTTAACAGTTACAAGAACCATAAAATATATTGAAATTGTCTACTTGTACTAGGTCCATTCCACAACTCAGATTGAGGATCATAAGTCTTGAGAAATAGAGTTGATGTAAAGTTATCAACAGAATTACCGCACAAAACCAAAGCACTGTCAGTTTCTTGGCATCCACTAAAATATAAAAAATCCGTATTTTGTCTAAACGGATATGGAATGTGGTCAGACATGTACTGCCTAATGGCTGACGGTATAACAATTACATGGTAAAAATCTTTTCTTGTACTTAATACTGACTCCATTAATTTCCGCCTTCTAATCATAAATTCTTCTTTTTGTATACCGGGGACAAGCTGAAATGTATTGTGTGATTAATTTATATTTCATTAGGTTCGCTTTTACATGGTTTGTCTCTATAATACTCACTTCACCTTTCATCACTAAATGTGGATGAGATTCGTCTGTGGGTTGGCCGCAAATCAACGGTGTTTTCACTATATTTTTCATACTCATCTGGTGTATACATCTACTATTATTTGACCAAAATTCTGTTAATTTCCCTGTAATCAAAATGCAACACACAATATTATTATGTTCGAAACATTTAGTGGAAACTGTATAAAGAAAGAACTACTGAATTATCTCACCTGTATAATTACTCAAACACAATAATCGAGCACGAGGATACATTTTTGTAAAATATAATAAATACAGTACAGTATTAGAAAGGTCTTTAAATTATCAAATTCAGACATTCAGTAAAAATTTTGAAAGTGATTCTTTTGAAAAATCATATTGGCAGGTGTAGTGTATCCAAACCAGCGAAAATATTATCGTAAAACACTTGGTGTAATGGTGTTTTTTATCATCAGTTATCGTTTTGATATTCTTAGGATTTTATAACTTATTATAAATAACAAAAAATCACTTCTTATATTCTGGAAAGTCAAATGATTTTTGTTCTAATACTTAAAATTCTGAATAATCACTAAACATAAAACAATCCAAATTTTGAATGTGAATAGACGATTATTAATTTAAAATTAAAGTTGTAACCCTTATCATTGATTAATATTCTATCGTTTTATATTACACACAATAAACGCCATCACTCATCTATAATATTGATGAACTGGTAGCTCTGCCTTTTMCTCACAAAACACGTGAGATTTTGAATTTTTATTGGTTATATCATTTTGTAGAAATGTATACTATTGATAACAAAATATTCAAAATAATAATTAATATTAAGATTTAAAAAAAAGTAAACAGTAACTACTAATAACTGTAAGTTAACAACTAAAACGTAAGTATTAAATATTAATTAAAAACTAATATCAAATATGCATATTAAATTTGCATAGATCATAACAATATATTTTTTTTTTTAATTTAAAAATAATATCTTAAATCRTATTGCAGAATACAAGCGAGAGATTTATAAACATGGCAACCATTTCAGAATTTAAACTATTATTTGACAAATTTTTACTGGAAAATAAATCTCCGACTGGAGAAATTGTGAAAAAAAAATATTATTTTCCTGTTGATCAGTTAACGGTGAGAACACATTCATTAAAATCTACAAACTAATGTTTAAGTATACATACTATTCATAAATATTTGTTGTAGACAATTTACTCATCTATGCTGAAAACTACCAATATACAATGGTCACAATTTCAACAAATGTTAATTAATTATGTTGAAAATGTGGATTTTTGTTATTACTCATGGGAATGTTTTTCATTAATTGTAMAGCATTTGAACACAGACAAAACAAATGTATACATGTTTACAAATCTTTTAGGATTAATTAAAATTCCTACTGAAAAAAATGAAGACCATAAATTATTATTTAAAAGTAACAGTAAGTATACATAACAATATTTATAATAGACCAATAAGTTAATAATTTGTGGATTTGTTTAATAGAACGACCTCAATTTAAATATAATTCAGAACAATTAAAATCGTGGGTTACATTAGTTTGGGATGGTATGAAACCGTTCATGTTGTCAAATATCAAAATTAGAAGAGAGATGTTAACTTTGTTGATAGAAAAAATGCAAATGAATTTAAATAATCCTCTTGTAACTGCAGACTTTCTAATGGATTCATTGGATACTCGTATGTTTTCATTTATATTCTATTTGTGCTTTATTATTAATACATTTATATAGTAGTCATTAATATGTTGTTACTTGTTTATTACATTTATAGCTGGCCCCGTTTCAATATTAGGACTTCAAGGCATTTTTATTTTGGTCAAGGATTATAATTTGTAAGTAAACATTTAATTATACTCTAATTATTTGTTTTTTAATATAACAGGAAGTTAAATGATAGGTAATGTTAGTTACTTGAATTTAATTTTTTTTATTATTGTTTCTAAACAGAGAATGTCCAAATATTTATGGGAAACTATACAACTTTTTTACCACTGATATGTTTAGTTATCGGTATAAAACCAGATTGTTTTATTTAGCCGATATATTTCTTCGTTCAACGTAAGTAATTTCAAACATTTTGATCAAACCAAATATAAATACCATGTTAAATAGTGTCATAATAAAAGTCTGTAAAATCTTGCACTTTAAAAATCAAAATATTTTAGAAAAACTGACAAAATTACCTAACCTTTAAGTTTGATAATAATATATCACTTTTATATTAAAAGGACGTCTCACCTGCATGTGTTGTCTCTGCCTTACAAATGTAGAACATGAAAACTATTCTTGTTTGGGACAAATGATCTACCTCAGTATACCTTTATAGTAGAATTATCAAAATTCCACAACTCCGCATAGATAAGAACTTTATCTGTGTTATAGCGATGTTATTTTTTTGATGGCACAAACCAATGATTTATAATAACCAAACAAAAAAATAAAAATAAATTTTTTTTCCTAAGCTAATAACTTTATTTATATTTATGTTATCAAAAAAATAACGATGCTGTGACACAGATAAAGTTCTTACTTCTATATTGTGGAATTCTGATAATTCTACTATAAATACTGAGAGAAAACAGTTATCCTACGCAAGTACAGTTTTTGCTATGTTTTAAATTTGTAAGACGGAGACAACACATGCAGGTGAAGCATCTTCTTAAAGTTAACTACACAAAATTCATTCACCTGAGCGTAAATTTGGTATGTTGTTTACTTGTATGTTTGTGAGATGAAGACAAAACAACTGGATATGAAGTACTCTTAAGAATTAGCCACGGCAATTTTTATATATAAGAATTATTTAAGGTTCTGAGTGAAGTAAATTAATGTATTGATTTTACAATGATGTGTAGGGGTAGTAAAAATGCTTAGATTTCCTACTTCAATATTCTGAAAGAAAAGTAAATCTAATTGGTACTTTGTGGTCAAAAATTGAATATTCCCATTAGTTTTCAAAAGCCTGGGAAAAAAAAAAAAAACATTTTAAAGAATTGTGATTATGTGTATTAATTGTTTTTTTTTTTTGTAATCGCTCTAGAACTATAGGTATTTAAATATTTATAAATATTTTTATGACCATYTTCCATAAAAGGTTGATAATTTAATAATTAAAATTGATAACAATATAAAAATTACAATGTTTTTGGTAAAAATTGAACCTTTTTTTTAGGAATACTATTGGTAAAATAAATTACTATAATATCCAAAAAAAACATATCATTAAATATTTATTTATTTTATATTTAACGCCAATCGGCTTCTAAATATAGGAACTTGACATTCAATGACAGACCCAATTTACTCAGAATATTATATTTTACTAAACAATGGTGTATTATTAAATTTTKAATTCAACACATCCATTATAGTGTCCCATTTAACACCTTAATAACTTATAATTTATTAAAAATATTTATATGTTAATTCAATTTATTTTGCTCTAATCTTATGTTTATTTATTTATTATAGTCATTTACCAGAGCTGCTAGTTGCTRCATTTGTTAAACGGATGGCTAGACTTTCATTAATAGCACCGCCTACTGATATAAAAATTATGGCAGCATTTATAGGAAATTTATTAATTAGACATCCACCACTAAAAGTATTGATCCAAAGTGATTCCGTTGGTAATTTTAGATATTTAAAAACATAATATATGTATATTTTTTTAATTTAATAATAATATTATTAAAATTACTTGTTTGACTTTTAGTTGGTTCTGATCCTTATATTTTTGAAGAAAAAGATCCACTAAAATCAAATGCATTAAACAGCTCATTATGGGAACTTGTTTCTCTAAAACAACACATTTTACCAAAAGTGGGAAAATCAGTAAATTTTTTATTTAAAAAATTGCCACAAGTTGAATGGGACATGAGTGAATTATTAGATGATTCTTATGAAAGTGTAAGTAAAAATTACTTTTGTTTCATAAAAAGGTATTGATTCATTATGCATTATAAATTTAATATCTAGTCACTGACTAAAAGCTATTAAAAAATATACATAATATCTCAATTAATATATACTGTAAATTTAATTATAGTGATTGTGTCATGTCATATAGTGCATGCTTCAACCCCGCAATCCAATCTCAACACATAACGACATAACACTCTTTTACGTTAAAATTTTTTTTTTTATGATTTTATAGTACCTTTTAAAGTAAAATCATCTGTTACAAAATTATTAATTGTAGAAAAAAATCCCTGATGATAAATACTTTCAGCAATTTTAACAGTTTACTTAAAAGTTGAAATAAACTTAATACACTAAGATCGAAAATCAAAAATAATAAAATAAATATTGAAGACTTCCTAAAAGCAATCGCTTTGAAAGTGCACTGTAATAATAACTAGGAAATATAATTACAAATTTCATTTTAATTTATATACAATTATTATTATTATTATTAATATAACCCCCAGTGTTGTGGCATATATTTTTTTATGAAATTGACAATTTTGAACACATTGATTTTATTTCCAATATTTATATATTATTAAAATATTAAAATTATATTAATAAAATGTTCACCAATCCCTAGTATAAATTTACTATAATGCAACTAAGAATTGTTTCCAACTACCAAAAAGTATTAAGGACAATGTTTTTGAGGCTTTGGCATATTTTGTACTTGTATTTTACTTTGTATATTTATTTTTATGATTTTTTAAGTTTTTACTTTTTTCCAAGACACCATACATTTTTTATTTCATTTTCCGAAGTAAATTATTAATTAGAGTATTTAAATGTATAAGATAAATAAAATTTCGAAGAAATGGGTAATTAGTTATTAATTATATCCTATAAGTATTTAGTTGAGATTAATGAAGTAGTTGCAGGGGTGTAGCTAGGATCTTTTTTGTGGTAGGCCTACTATAAACAGACATTTTTTTATAAGCCTACCATAATTTCTAAGTTGCCAATGATTATTTTGATCATTATTTAATAATTAATAACTTAAAACAAAACAAATTGAACCTAAAAATAAGTAGATAGTTTCAAAAGAGGAATTTTTATTGAAGTACCTAAATATGTAAGATGAGGAGGAAAATGGTGACAATAATAACAAAAAAACAGCATTTTGCGTAACTGAATATTCCAACTAAGGATACTTACTATACCAACTGCTTTAAAAACATCGATGTTTTCCAGAAATAACTGTATGCAMAGCACTTTCGTCACAAGTTGAACTTAGATCGAGAACATTCAATTTAAAAAGTTCATTGGAATTTGTTTGTTTCAAATCTGATTTTATTGATTCAACTTCTGTATTAGATATACAATGGTCAGGAAAATCAATTTTTGACAAATTCAAAACACTTGAAACATTTTCAGTGACATCATTTGATTTTAGTATATTAGGAATCAACAACCGTTTTATATTATTTATTAAACGTACACATTGTACACTGTAAAGACTAATGACCATTCGGAATTGCAAATTGCATAATACTAGTAAATTATAGGTAGGTACTAGGACACTAGGTAAATGTTTATGAGTGGATAGTTGTGAAATTAAATTCCAATAAAACTCTATAACAAGAATTTTGTAAGCTACGATTTAATCAATTACCTATTTTTCAATATTATTTCTCAAATATATTATCGACTAGTGCAATAGTTTTAATGATATTTTAATGATGTCGCTGTCGTGATGTAGCCAAATTATTATAGTGTTTTAATAATATTATACTGTTGTAAAAACGTGTATAAGTGTCTAAATTTATTATTTTTAATATTATTGGTTTTTTTTCTAGAGAAAATTTGGGTAGGCCTGGGCCTACCTACTGACTACGCTCCTAAGTAGGGACATTTTTCACTGTACACTTCTATACCACTTATCTAATTTTTAAATACTAATTACCAGGACTAGGATTTATATGCAACAGCATGTTTTTTTTTGCGACTTCTGATTATTGATTTTGTCAGTAATGTCCACGAATTTTAATTTTGCATGTTTTTGCATATTTTGGATAAAATGCATATTATATTGAATAAAATGAATATTATTGCATATTTCGATTATAAGAATGCGAAAAATGCATGTTTTATAGTATATTTCGTAATTAATATTTATAATTTAATATTAATATTTCGTATTTAACTCTATCTCTGCTGATTAAAGTATAAAACTTGGTTTTTTTGTCAAACGCAAATTTTATTTTTATAAATACAATCCTATGGTACAATAGGTATGTGATTAAAGATTGAATAGTTTAACAGAGAAAGATAAAAACAATTAATAAAAGTATGTTGGTCAATATAAAATCTAAGATAGAAATTAAAATGCATATTTTACAATTTTTTATTGCATATAAATCCTAGCCCTGCTAATTACTAATTTAGTCTTTAAAGGTCAGAATACTMCAAATATTCTGCTTCAAAGTATAAATAAAAAATGTATTGTCTTTTAAAAAAGTAAAAATAAAAAACAGATAACAATTAAAAATTGTAAAAAAAAAATTTAAACCAAAATAGTGAGTGTAGTCATTTTTAATTAGATCACCTGATATATTAAATTATTTTAAGACCATATTTAGAAAAAATGATGTTTTACTCTCCAAAATATAATTCTTTTGAATAAAGAAGAATAATCTAACTTTTAATATGTCTATAATAATTTAGCGACTATACTTATGTACTCATGATAATTTCTTTTTTTAAAATTAATTTATACATTTCAGTCTAATATAGTAGTATTTATGTTGATGAATGATAAATGTTAAAAATCATATACTATTACTTATAAACTTACATGGTTTTTTAATAGATGATTGATGAAGAATACAAGACAGAGTTCCAAAAAGTGAGCTTAACATATGAAAAACCGGTTTCATTTTCTCTACCACTATCTAATCATATGGATGATTTATGGACTTTAGATGATTAATTCAAACTATGTTAATTTTAATGATGTATATTAATTAATATATGCTAAATTTATATTTCACAAAACTGTACAAATTGAGTCTGTATAATTTAATTAGTGTTATCCTATATAGTGATGMGATAGGAATTCTGAAAATAGATTTTAATATATCATAAGCCTAATTCATAACTTTATCCACCAAATTTATCAATGTTGTCAGACGCCATTTTTGAAGGATTCTTGGCAGATATTAAATTTGACTATGTTAATTTCAAAACAAAATACTTCACAGAAAACTACTTATTTATTTTCAGAATCCTAATTAAAAAATACTTATATATAAATGTGCTGTGTTAGTGGACAGAGGAGATACCCCAATGTGAAATAACAAATTTTTAACAATTAATAATTATAAATATTTTAACTAAGGTAAAATAAATTTAAAATTTAAATATTTATTGTTCATTAAAAATAATTTGTGAATTTACATTAAATCTCGATTGTTACGATTATTTAGATTCAAGTAAAATTGTTCAACCTCGTACATTGCTAAATGCTCAACTGTGATATATTAAATAAGCATAAGAAAAATTAATGTTAAATTTGACTTCTTTCATACCTAGATATTAATCATGTCAACATTTGTAATAAAAATATCTTGTATAATATTAGTGTTTATAATTTTATGAGCACACCCTGCAAAGGTTTGCCACCTGAGAAATAATTTAGCACACATCAACTATTCTATTATTAATTACTACAGCAGATAGATAAAAATATGACAGTAAATACCTTTATCTAGGCGAGGATGGTAAAATATTAGAGATTATTATCTTTAAAGAATTTCAAGCTCGCTACGCCTTGGGCACAGCCACCAACCAACATGAAATTAATTCTGCTATGAATGCTACTAAATCATTGTCGCAAATGTGATACAGATAGTAAGTTGCTGCTCACAAACCCACTAAAAAATACATATTGCATTTTATGAATATTTATGTACTCAAATTTAGAGATGATGAATAACATTAGTCTTGCCCTTAATTAGTTTGGTTAAAAATATAGTTTAGTGTTCATCAGTTTGATTTGACATTGAGTGAGTGAAATAGGTTCAGTATTAAAATCTAAGTCCAATACCATAATGTATCATAATTAATATTTTTAATATACTTATATAACACTATACCTCAAAAAAACAAATATTGATGAAAAAAAAAAAATTTCATTTATTTATAAGTGAGGTTACATTTAAAATAAAAAACATTTGTCTTAAACATAAATATTTAATAATAATTTATTTTTTACAAAAAAAAGCAAATTGTATAGTTTAATGTGCCCTATATTAAAGTATCACTGACTTGACTCTCATAGAAAAAGCCGCTCAAGATATTGTTAAGTTTGACAATTATTCTTCAAAAATAAAAATATTATATACATGCATTTAATAATATTTGATATGGTTGATRAACATTCTTTTTAATGTTGCAAGTTGTTATCTATTTCTTTAAGCTTAACCAAACAATATATTTCTGTTACCTAAAACTCAATTTGATTGTGGGAATAAGGTAAAAATTATTTTAGTCTAAAATAAAAAGAAACAATATAGGATTCAAATAGAACTAAATATCATAATACTTTGTTTGAAAGACGTTAATGGTCACAACATTATGTTGTGAAATGTAATGGTAATCCACAAATGATAAAAATTTAAATGACGCAAACATAAAATTGTTATTTTCTAAAAATTGAATTAAAATTGTACAGCCATAAATATCAATCAAACAGTTTAAGTTAAATAATTTTATATAAATAAATAAATAGGACTTGATACTTCATTATAGGGACGAGAGTTACCTTTTGTATCATGAATAATATATATTGACATGTTACACTCGAGCAGATTGAGTTAATGCAGCCATAAAAACGCTGTAACTACTGCGATCTGATTTGATATGCTGTACTTGGTGCATAGTCAGTGAACATTTACTCAAAAATTGTGCATCACAAATAACACAAACATACTGGTATTTTAATGCCTGATCTTTTTTGGGACTATATTTTGGTGGACAATGAGCAGATTTTGACGAATTGTCGTCTGAAGAAACCTGTGATAAGTCATTGGCATTCCATTCTGTTTTAATGGTTAGAGTTGTCTGATTATTATGAGGTGATTTTGGAATTGTGGATTTTGTACTTCTAGGAATGTCTTTAACTTCAACAGCATTGTAACCATTTGGTTTTGTTTTTGACTCCTCTACACTTTCATCGCTACTTATATAGTTCTCAATAACTTCTTTCTTCTTCAATATCTTTACYGTCGATTTATCTGAATTTATTGAACCAGAGTCTGATGAAGATTTGGAAGCAATCACAACCGCTCTTGTGTTTTGGTAACATCTATAAATAACAATGATAATATTTAAATAATTATTTTATATTTCACCAATAAAAACTATTAAAAATGTTACCTTTTTCTTGTTTTGCGTGTGTTCAAAGTTTCCAAATCCATAAGTTGTGCAGCACTTAAACGGTCATTAATTTTTTTCTTAGTCTTGGCTTTCTTTAACTTGTATTTTTTATAGACATCGTTATAAGTATTAAGTTTGTAATTTGTTTCAGTTGTATGACATGATAATGTATTAAAATGCAATCGAAAATTTAACCAAGTTTTAAAGGTTTTATAACAACCGCGGCATACCACTTGTGCATCATCATCGAAGTAATAAAAACATACTCGTTCGCATATCTAAAATAAAATACCGGTCTTAGACACATTCAAGACTCAATATTAACATTACAATTCAACAACAATTTCTATACTCACATTGATATCATTTTCTTCTTCCACAGGCCTAAAAAAAATGTATCATTATTATTACTTTGAACTTCTAAATCGAGCTTGAATAAAATAAAAGGTATATACCTCTGAGTTTTATTTGGTTGTAGACCAAAATTTTTCAAAAATTTTTGTTTCCGATAGCGTTCTTTCATTTTTGGCTTAATCATCTAAAAACAAGTTAAAAAAGATTTTAAATACAGTTTATTAATAATAGTTATTAATTATTATCATTGATACATTAACATTATTAGAAATAAATAAATAGGTGTGACTCTAAACAAAGTCATAAATAACTTTTATCGTAATTAATTGGATTGCAAGGTAATCTTGTACTCTTTTATAAATCAGTAAATAAATGCATCTAGTAATGAACACCACATGATTGTGAAAAGAAAAATTTTAATAGTATTAAAGTAAGCCAGTAAGGCTATGCTACTATTTGCCTGGGTGGCAGTATTGTGATAAACAGTACACACCGGTCCTAGTTTTTTTCTAAAAAAAAAGGCTATGCTGTAATACAAATGTTTATGAATTTTTGATATGTATATAATTTTTATATAAAAATTGCAAATCAAAACCATAAAAAAAATTGTTTAGGTACACTCATTACTTTATTTCCAAAAAAAAAGAAAAAAAAAAAAACATTAATTATTGTCATAAAATTCTTTAGATGTATTCATGCAGATACATCTCCATTAAGACCCATTATATTCTTGAAAAATACATTTTATTCTGCTCTAATTTTTCATAGTTAACCAATTTTGTATTTCATACATTTATTATCTTATTCTAAAAACCTAAGTTAATGCATAACTGTTTAAACATTTTTTCAATAAAATTTTGAAGAAATTTATGTTTAATTAGATGTAAACAATACAAATTATATAAATATATAATAAGAATTATGACAAATGTATCATAATATAGTTTAGTGATTGTATGTGTACTCGATGAACTGAATTTGTATACAATTTTATTTGGTAAATCATGTCAAGAGCATAAATTTTTTCTTTTTTAGTTTAATATCTAAATTATATAACTAACATTTGAGTTTAAAACGAAAATCTCAATTAAATTACAGAAAATTAAAAATAAATAAATATTTTTTGGAAAAAACTTCATCTTCCTTATCTACATAAGCGCTATACATTGTTTAAAATATTTTTTTTCACAAATCAATAGATATTTGTGTTAACCATGTCTAGTAATTGAAAGGATTGTAAAATATAAAATGCTAATCTACTAGAAATATGGTTTATAAGAAATTACTATCGGAGAACTCTACAAACGTGTCGTCCAGTACACATTTAAATGAAATTACCTCTGCTTCAAAGTTGATAAAATTATTATAAATGAACGATTTTTTTTTGTTCCAGTTATTGATATCATTGATTACAAATGTCAAACTAATGTTTTTGCATTTATGAAATCAATCAACCTCACACATGTAGAAAGTCTGTAGGTAGAAGTGTAATAACGCAGTGTCAATTACCTTATGGGAAAAATATTCATTCAGCAATCGGAATGCGATTTAAATAATTCTTTATATTAATTTTTGATTACACTCTAGGGGAATCAAAAGCGAAAAGTCGAAAAATGATGAAAACGAGATTGAAAAAAATTGACAAAAATTGATCGTAAGAAAAAAATAATAATAACAATTAAAACGAAAACAGACGAACTTTCAAAGTTAACTAGCGCAATTATTGTCGAACTGGCAAAGGAGAAAATCGTAATCAAATCGAACGACAAAATGTCAGAACCTACGCAGATGGCGTAAGAAGGAGGACAAGGAACTTGTGCGACGGCGCCAAAACAACACGGAAGAAGCCGTGGAACTGAGGTYGCAGTGGTAATGGTTACGGTGGACCGACACCAACCRTCAGGAGTACGGGCACCGAAGACCGCGGTACGCACGGATCTGTGGAAGATCTTTCGATCAAACGTCTCGGGAAAACGTCTTGTTGTTGCGAGACCGCGGATGAGTGGTCTGGCGCAGTCGCGCACCAGACAACCTCCGAGTACAACTGCGCGGCCGAGCCGCTTGGCCGTCCGCGGCCGTCTACCAAGGCCACTAAACGCCGTGCAGATCAGGCGCGGCACGTGCGTTCCGTCGCCCGAAAACATTAACAAAACAAATATGAAACCCTTCTACGAACCTGCTCAGTGCGTCGTCTGTCGTTACCGGAACGAGTGCAGAGCAGGCTCTGCGACGGCCACACCGCGGCTATCGTGTGCAGCGTCGTCCGACGATGGCGGCGTGCACCGTGGTCGTCTTCCGCTCCGTCCAAGAATCCAGGTGGACGATGGTAGCGTCGCGAATGGGAATGTGCCCATGCACACTCGCAGGCCGTCGAGGAGATAGTGGCATTGGCGAGCTCGTGCTCGGCGGTCGTCACTCCGTCAGTGTTACCGGCGACGGGGATATATTGATACGAGTCGGCCGGCGCGCGGTCGGCGGGCGGACGGATGGGGCGGATGGGTCCGACCTGGCGGGTGGTTGGGTGACGAGTGGGCCCGTCCGACGATAACCATTGGGTTGTGCGTGTTTCGTGTTTATACATCCTTAACAATGACATGTATATTGTATATAAATACCTGTGGTGTTTATTGTTTACAGGCATTTTATTGTTTATCGTTGGAGTTTTTTTCGTTGTTGTTGTTCGAGGTAGTTTCTCGGACGATGTGCCATAAATATATATATATTTCTAATTAAGAGATAATATTATTATTTATCGTTATTATTACCTACTGACCAGGCAGTGGCGGTCAATGAACCGCGATTCTTGGTCACAAATTATATTTACCTCCATCTCGAATTGATTGTTGAACTTGAAAGAAAGTAGAGACAAATGATAAACACAGCCTACAGGCGTGTGACAAGAATACCAGAGTAGGCACTAACTAGGTAGCTCCTAAACTATTTTCGTCTTTTCGAATTTAAAGAAATCTTACATCTTGAATCATGACTGATGTTCTAAATTATCTTTAATATTTTAATAATAATTTACAAAGACTGTGCGTGAGTGACCAAAATGTTTGTCCTCACCTCCGCATCATGTCATTAAACTTTTCGCATGCCTATGAAGAGTAAATGCCTATAATATGGGTGGAAGTATAGGATTTAATAGCTACAGGGGCTGAGGTACTAAAAAATAAAAATCCTAAGTTCAAAATAAACATAGACAGTACCTCACACTCTCACTACAGCAGTGCTATTATAATTTAGTAGTCACAGCAGCACGAGTAATCTAAATTACGATTAACGAGTAATCTAAAATAGCAATATATTAAAAATAAAATAAAAATAAAAATATGTATATATAATATATAAAATATAAAATCACCAAGTATTTCAAGTAAGGGCAGTGTTACCACTGGGTAACCCCTCCCATCAAGTTTTTTCATGTATTGTTTATCATTTATCTCATATTCTTATTGTTCCTAAGGAACAGATTGTATATACCGTTTAAAAATAAAAATTAAATTAAAAAAAGTCACAGCAGCAAGGACTTCCTGTAAAATCAACAAGTTGTGCTCGTATGTCTATCAAGTATAGAGGGACTAAAAATGTCAAAATGTCTATGTGAAGCTTAAACCCCTCCCCTCCTACTYACTAGTTATGCCACTGTGAGGTTATAAATAATATAATTATTGAAATTCGTCCACAACGGTAAAGACGTAAAAAAGGTAGATGATATTGAGAATAATACCCCTCCACACATAAAAAAAAAAATTCTGTTGAATTTTGTAAATGTAGCCAAAGGCAATAAATTAAAATACTTAAGATACCTATTCTTAAAATCAAATAAAAAGTTATGATTTTCATTTTTATTTCTAAATAAATAAAACATAGTTTTAATATAGCTATTACTTATACTTGATAGTTGATTGAAATGTGTCAAATTATATTAAACTGTATATTATATGAATATATGATGCGTGGACACGTGGCTAGTAAAAACTAATCGTATTGTTAGTTGTTACATTTCTCATTGCAGGCCATTTGGCCAATCCCAAATACGCATAGACATAAATGTAGTTAAAATTTTGAAAGGCGTGAACTCCAAGGTAGGAAAAAACTTAGACCTTATGATGCGTCTTACGTCTTTACCCCCTATTTAGAGGTGTAAGAGGAGGCTTTTGTTGATTGTATGCTTTATTCAAATTAAATGTTCATTGAGGTATAAAAGACGTGGGATTAAAATAAAACAATTAATAAAACATAAAAATGTACATACTTTTCGAATACATCTATCTAGACAATGGTACCGCAATAACTACACGAGCAAATGATTTTTTTAATGTTATGAAAGGTAACAAGACAAATTTCCTTGAACAAGTGAAACCAATAATTTCAAGTATTCAATTTATGCAACTCATGATTTTTCTGTAAGTGGAAAAATTTCAACTTCAAGTATTTTTTATGATCTAATTAATTTTCGGACTGAATCAGAAAATTAAATATTATAAAAACATAAATCAAATCACGAGAGAAATTTAAAATACGCATAACCTAGAATTCAAAATTAAATCATATTTCTAGGCGGAAAATTAATTAAAAAATTAGTTAATTTAGCCAACGCAGCAGTTGCATTTTCTGTTATTGCTGACAAAGCCGCAGATGTATAAAAACTATACACGTCGTATATTATACGATATTATAATATTCATTGAAGCTTAGAAGTTTTTTTTTTATAAAAAGTCTTCATTTATTTTTWAWTTTTAATTGCTTTTGCCATCTCCCTAGAAAAATGTATGGGATCAACCATGCTATAAAGGGGATATTAGAAATATAAATGAATACGTATTATCCTAATTTATTATACTTTGGTGAAATTAGGAAATATTTGTAAAAGTTTCGGGAGTTTTTGGAACTACCTCTCTCCCAATTTTACGTCTATTCAAATAAGGCATGCTGGTTGTTATCAATATAGTACGTCCGTAAATAACTATGTTGGATGTTCAATGTTCATAAAGGCATCAAAGTTAATCCTGAAAACAAAGGCGTGCGCACGGGAGTACTGAGTGTGCCAAAGCACACTCGACATTTTGTAATCGGAGCCCTGAAATTTAAGTCTCAGTCTCAGAATATAGGGCTCATATTTTAATCAATGTTATTAGAATAAAATGTAATTTTTTTT